GAAGTCGGGAAATTGGCGACGAATGGAGTCTAGTGGCTTCCCAAGTAGCCTCCCCCTCCGGCAGCCCCTCCCATTGAATGAGGAGGTCCAAGTTAGAAGGTCCTCCAACGCGAGAATAACGGGCTTGCAACACGGCTGTTGGTCGAATCAAGAGCTCGAGCTCCTCTGTAAGCATGGAAGAGTGGGTGGATTCATGCGTCCTCTGGAAGTAGGAGCCGGTACGCAACGGTACCAATCCTCTCGGCAATCTCGAATGGACCATAGTAGCGAGGAGCCAACTTCTCATTACGCTTCTTGGCCAAGGACTTTAGCCGGTACGGTCGCAGCTTGAGGAGTACCCAATCCCCAGGCGCAAAACAGACTTCTCGCCGCCGCTAGTCAGCAAAATGCTTTATGTGTTGTTGCGCATTTGCCAATTGTTTCCTTGAGCTCTTCCAGCATGTCGTTACGCAGGTGCATTTGTTTGGTGACCTCCTCATCCATTGAAGGAGTGTCCTGAAATCGGTACAAAACAGGTGGATGCCGGCCATAAACTATGTAGAAGGGTGAATGCTTCGACCGTCGAAGCATTGTAGGTTGTGTTAAACCAGCACTCAGCCCAAGGAAGAAACTTCAGCCACGACCTTGGCTTAGCCCCAGTGAAACACCATAAATGTCTCCAAACAACGGTTGACCCGCTCGTTTAGGCCATCAGACTCGGGGGTGATAGGCTGAGCTTGTGCGCAGTTGAGTTTCTTGGAGTTTGAAGAGCTCTCTCCAAAATGAACTCATAGAGATAGGATCACAGTCGCTCACAATCGAACAAGGAACCTCGTGGAGCCGAACGATCTCATGTACGAACAGCTCCGCCACAGACTTCGTCGAGAATGGATGAGCAAGGGGGTAGAAATGTGCAAACTTGGACAACCGATCCACCACAACTAGGATTGTGTCTTGTCCCTCCGATTTAGGGAGGCCGCTTATGAAATCCATGGAAATGTCCTCCCAAATCCTATTAGGAATTAGAAGGGGTTGCAACAGCCCTGCCGGAAGCATAGCCTCGCCTTTGGCACTTTGACAAACCTTGCACCGAGCCACATAATCCCGTATTTCCTCTTTCATGCCCGGCCAAAACACATTGCTTGACACCCGCTTATAAGTGCGAAAGAATCCCAAATGGCCACCAATCACCGAGTTGTGGAACTCGTGCAACAATCGAGGTATCCATGGTGAGGAACGCGGTAAAACCACCCGGCCTTTATAGAGCAACAACCCCTCCTTCTCACTGTTATCCATCCCGAACCTGCTCCCCAGCCAATAATTTTGCTAGCAACCCTGAACACTGGTCATCCCCCGCTTCCCCCTTCTAATGTCCCCAACATCCAATAGTTGTGGAATGAAAATGGCAGTAAAAGTCATTGGCTGCTCATCACCCCTCCTAGACAACGCATCCGCCACTCTATTAGCGGCCCCCGGTTTGAATTGCACCTCAAAATCATACCCAAGAAGCTTGGTAACCCATTGCAATTGTTCTGGTGGAAGCACTCGCTGATCCAATAGGTACCGGAGACTTTGTTGGTCGGAGCGAACCACAAACTGTCGTCCCAGCAAGTAGTGACGCCACTTTTGTATGGCAAACACCACTGCCATCAACCCCCACTCCTAAACTGACACTTGACTCTGATATTGTTTTGCTAAAATAAGCAATGGGCCGACCTTCTTGCATAAGGACAACCCCTAGGCCAGCCCCCGATGCGTCGGTCTCAATCACAAAGGTCTTGCTAAAGTCCGGCATAGCCAATGCCGGTAATGTGGTCATGGCCCTCTTAAGGGACGCAAAAGCTCCTATCGTGGCTTCCTCCCAACCGAAACCACCTCGTTTGAGCAAATTGGTCAAGGGCCGTACAATCTCATTGTAGCCCCGCACAAACCGACGATAGTATCCGGTCAACCCAAGAAACCCCCGCACGTCTCGGACACTCTTAGGAGTCGGCCAAGAGTTAATGGCGGCCACCTTGGAAGGGTCCGGCGCTACCCCCTTGCCCGAAATGATGTGGCCGAGATACTCCAAGCTATGGCGGCCGAACACACATTTCTTCAAGTTAGCAAACAGCTTCTCCCGCTGCAAGACCTCTAATACCTTTACCAAATGGCTCTGATGCTCTTCCATGGTCCGGCTATATACTAAGATGTCATCAAAAAACACTAAGACAAATCGGCGTAGGAATGGGCCGAAGATTGAGTTCATAAGGGCTTGAAACATCGCTGGTGTATTAGTAAAAGGCCAAAAGGCATCACCAAAAACTCATAGTGGCCCTTGTGCATCCGAAAGGTGGTTTTCTCTACATTGTCTCCATGAACCCGTATTTGGTGGTACACCGCGCTCAAATCCAACTTAGAAAACACCTTCGCTCCGTGGAGCTCATCTAGTAGCTCATCGATGACTGGAATCATAAATTTATCCGGCACGGTCAATTGGTTCAGAGCCCGGTAATCGACACGGAAGCGCCAACTCTCATTCTTCTTCACTAAGATTACCGGACTAGAGAATGGGCTGCTACTAGGTTGAATGATCCCGAAAGAAATCATGTCGGCCACCAATCTCTCAATCTCCCCTTTTTGGAAGTGTGGATAGCGATAAGGTCGAATCTTAAGAGGATCAGCCCCATCCTTCAATACAATCCGGTGGTCGCGTGCCCATTTCGGGGGCAGCCCCTTAATTTCCCCAAAAACATCCCTGAACCCCTCTATCACATCCTGCAACTCTCCCGGTACGACTATCGATTGCTTACCATCCTCCCGCCCTACCACCTCACAGAGTTCCAACAATACCCCCACTTGTGTGCCCCCTACTGTTCGAGTCAGCGTACGAAAACTCGCTGGCGTACAGCATAAAGCGGGATCCCCAATCCAACTCACCCAATTGTCCCCCCACCTTGAATTTCATGGTGAACCGAGACCAATCCGCCCACACTTCTCCCAAGGTCCGCAACCATGTAACTCCTAAAACAATGTCCGTGCTTCCTAAATCAAATAGGAAGAAATCTTCTACCACCGTGAACCCTTGTACGGACAACTCCATTCCCCTACATACTCCCTGTTGCTTGAAACACATACCGTTGCCGACCTGCACCCCACATTTGGTCGACAAGTCACATGGTAGTCCTAATTCTTTCACAATCGTCTCCGACACCAAAATATGAGACGCCCTACTATCAATCAACACCACCACCACTTGGGAGCCAATTGTGCCTTTAACTTTCATAGTTTTTGCGGAATTAAATCCCATCATAGAGTTAAGGGAAAGGTCTACCTTCTCTTCCGATTGTTCAGTTTCGGAGTTCCCTTCTTCGGCTCACCTTCCCCATCTGACTCGTCCTCGGTGGCCAGCAATAATTGAAGTTGCTGCTTGCTCTTACACCGATGCTCGGGGCTGTATTTTTCATCACTTGAAACAAAATCCTCTTGCCCTTCGTTGTTGCACTTCATCCTCAGACAAGCTCTTAAAGCCACTTGCTCCTCCTCCCCTTAGACTATTGGAAGCGGATGCTGCGGCCCGTCCACGACCGATCTCCCCTCCCTCTCTTCCGGCATTGGATCGAAGGGAGCTCCCCAAAAAAGGCCCGCGGCCACTAGTGGCCTCGCTGAACGAATATGACCGTCTCAAACCCCCAACGCCGTCGCTCTTCCATCTTCCCATTCTTTCCACCGCTTCATTCCGATCTTCGATCTGCTGGGCCATCTCCATAACTTCTTGGAGTGTCGTCGGCTTATGCATTTTGACCTCAGCGTGCACATCTTCCCTAAGTCTATTTAGAAAAACACCTTTGTAAAAAGCACTCGGCATTAACGGTCTAGGTAGTCCGCCACTGCCCCCCCCTGCCTCAAAGCCATAAGTCTCTCCATCGGATCCCCCTCCTTAGCTCTACTGAACCTCTTCAAAATTGTTGCCTTCAAGTCCCACCATTTGCCAAACGGATCTTGAGAATCAGTCCATCTGAACCAGTTCAAAGCTTGCCCTTCCATACACGTGGAAGCCACCGCCACCTTATCCCGTTCCCGCACCTCATACACATCGAAATATTGCTCAGTTCGGAACAGCCACCCATAAGGGTCCTCGCCAGAAAAGATCAGCATCTCCACTCTCCTTCCACGTATTTCCCCTCTTCCCCGACCTTCCGGCGTCTCGAGCTGCTGTCCCTGCTCCCAATCCCACGGCTGTCCTCCCTTAGCCCGCCTAGGTTCATCCTCGTTCTCCTCCCAAACTTCCCCAACTCGGTGGCCAGGTACCCTGCCAGCTCTGCCGCCATTGCCCGCTACTCCAGGGTCGAGGTGGTTACCCCGTCGTGTCCCCATGGGTCCCTGATCGAGGTTGGGTTCCCGGTCTAGGCGTCCACCCCTTTCTCTTGGAGGTTCCCTGACTGGGTCAGCATGGTGCTCCCAACCCAGATCCGGCGGCCAAACAGGACCACGCCTCCTTCCTCTCTCGTCCAGGCCACGTCCAACCACCCTTGCCACCTTGCACGGCCATCGTCTGACTTCTGGACCTCCATCCCGTGGCGGCGCGACCTCATCTGTGATTGGGTCGGCGACAATTGAACCTCTCCGTTGCAGATCACCTAGATTCAGGCCATTTCGGTCACGTTGGACCATTGCTCTGGCGCGTTCTCCGGCGGAGCTGGCCAGCGACCTATGAGATCTTCCAGCCGGCGCTGTACCTCGTGGACCCTGATTTGATTTCTCATCTCTTCCCTCAACCCACCGATTTCCTCTCGGATCTGCGGGATCTGCTTGGACGTCAGGGACTGCACCACTTCCTGCACTGCTGTCAACCCCTTCTCTGCTGCGATCAGCCTCTCCGTCTCTGCCGGTTTGAGCGCCATGGATCGTACATCTCTGATACCAGTTTTTAAGGAACTTGGTAATTCTCAGCCAAACAACTCACACACACGGTTTCACAGCCAAGAAATGGAGAGGAATCAGGGAATCTTTGTTTATTTTAATCAGCCTCACGTTACAATAGTCAATTGAAAGATAAACCCGGAGATTTCGAGTACTCCGGAACAATTAGCCACCAACGGTGGAAAACGGCAGAGACAACAAACAAAATTTGACTAACTTCCCCTAACCTTTTCCTACCCCCCCAATACCCTGATTCCTACTTGCCTTTGCCACGCACCTGCCTTGCCACTTCCTGAAATTACTCCTGGCCCCCAACTCTAGTATTTTTGACACCCTTACCTCTCCTAGTGTAAACATTTTTCAGTACGGTCTGACATTCTCTCTCTATCAAAAATGCCCTTAGCCAAGCCTTAGAAGTTCAGGTTATATGGGACCTTTTTTTCCCGCTAAATCTATATGGGAACAGTTTGATACTTTGATTTACGTGAAATCAGTTGTTTAAACTTAACTATTGCCATAGATTAGCTTAGCAGATTCTTTCATTTATACAGGTCATGAATGAAATTTGCGTGTTCAAAGGGTCATGTTGGATGTTGAAAAGCGGTGATGGCAATCCAAAATGATGTATTGACATTTTCTCATTGGATTGAGTAGAAAATACTTCGTTCAAGGCTATGCGGGCACCACAAGGACTGAAATTTTTTTTAGTATAGGAAAAATGAAAATATATTGGCTCTACGCATATAATAGATATAAATAGAAAATGTCCCAACTATCCAGAACCATTCTATGCTGCTGCTCCCCAAATGTGCAGAAAGAAGTTCTACCTCTCGGATTCATCTCTACTCATGGCATTTAATTCTAAATTAATTTCCTGATATTATTTTTAGGGCAATTTTCTGATGTTATTTAGGATAAAATACAAGTTATCAAAGAGGAAAGAATTTATACCTTACCATATTGCTTTTTCTTTCTTTCTTTTTTCTTTTTGTCTCCTATTCCAGCTTAATGTTTTTATTCTGTATTTGGTCTTTGGGGTCTTTAATGGTTTATTGGTGCACTAAATATTATGTAATAGTACGAAAGGTTAGTGTAAAGGTTCAAGTATAGCCACTCTGAGGTTTCGTCCATAAAAGAAATTATTTTCCTCTCGAGAGAGCAATTAGCAGGAAAAGAAAATAGGCAATTGCTAAACGAGGACTCCAAGAATCTCTTCATTAATGATTAGTCTCTCCTAGATTAGAAAAAATAAACTACATATAGTTCTCTGTTTTTAATTGTTAGATCAATATCAGAGACAAAATATTTTTTTAATATAACGTGATTTTGGCTCGGTTTAATAGTCAGAAATTATTTATTTTACTTAAATTTTTAATTTGATATGCTTTTGGTCAGAAACACGTTCTATTATCAATAGAGAAGTAAGTCTTACTGAAGAAAGTTTCGATTAATTAAACCGTCGTCAGAAAAGTGCAGTAGCGATATAATACAAAAGGATTGGAGGATTGCAACATATCGGTCGCTACTATATTTATGAGTAGGGTCTAGTGTGTTCCGATCAATAGTTATCATCGAAAGTGATATGGTGGGGCAATATAATTTTTGAAAGATATACATTATCTGGTTGTTTGCAAAGACTCTTCCCAGACTTTCAAGTTTATCACTTTTGTTGCGTATTTTTTCTTACATTATTGATAATTATGTATAACAAGGGGGAAAAAACACATTTTCAAGAAAGAAAGAAATAAAAAAAAAAAAAAAGAATTCGGAGGCTTGGTGGTGGGGTTGTTATTTTTTGATGAGTTTCCCATGGAATTGAGGTGCTCATGCATTTAAATAGCACCTTGTTGGGTACTTTTGATATTACCGCAAAATAAAGTGAAGAAATTGACTTTGATTATAACAAAAAAATATAATTCTCATACGACTCATTGGAAATTTGTATATTAAATTCTCACAAAAATTTAGGTATCTTCATTTCACAACTCAAGTTATAACTTGAGTTATGACTTGAGTTGTGTATGTGAAAGAAAAATATTATAATAAAAAAGTTAAATTTGAATTTTTAATGAGAAAAAATACTGTAACAATAAAATTTGAATTGTGACTTGAGTTGTAAAATAAATAAGGTCTTGCCAATTTTTTTCTCAAATAAAAATAGGATCAATGAATCCTTAAACTCAAACTTAGCTATTATTTGACAATCTACTGCGACCACAAGTGGAATAAAAAGATATCTAATTCATACTTACGTCAACTAGCATCTAAAAAGTCTCAAATCATCTCGTCCTAAACCATATTCGGTCAATGCAAATAATGAGAATCAATTCTTTGGGTACTAGATGAAGCCCTAGTAGGTCACTTTTCGCTACAATGTCACCTCTACTCGTGGTCAATATTTACTAATTAAAGTGTCATAGGATTTTCTTTACAAATAAACATCAAAAGCAATTTTTTATTATTTGTTTGAGAGGACATCCATTTTGACGAATAATTATAACGATGATATATTTTCTATGAATATTAGTTGGCCCTTCATGAGGGGGGGAAAAAAACACGGAGAGGGGTGAAGGACTTTTGTCCTTTGAAGGGGTGATAAGATAAGGAAGAATACAGATAAAAGAAAACGCAACGGGTGAAGAATAAAAATGAGGCTCATTTTTTATTTATATTTTTTAAGGGACATTTTATTTAATCATAAATATATTTTTAACAAGATCGAAAGAAAATAATGCAAAGAAGAAGGCTTGAAGAACTCAATGGTGGGTATAAAAAAAATCTTATTGAAAGGATATAATTTTGAATTGTCAATCTTCATCAAATTTTATTAATTTATTTTATAATCTAAGTAAATAAATCCTCTTTACACTTTTATCCATTTGATTCATGTCAAATACACTTTTAAAATTCCAAAACCTTAAAAAGTTCCGTCATGTTATGAAAACTAAAATAATGCAAAATTAAGAAAGACTTTAGAGAGAGAAACTAGAGAGAGAGAGTTTTATTAATTTTGTAAAAGTATACAAAATGAATAGCCTTAGAGCTCTATTTATAAAAAAAAATTTGGCACTATTCACGATTACTATTTGTACAGTACTTACTATTTGCACAATAAGATTCTGACATGAACAGTAACTTTGACTGACTTGCATAGTAACTTTGATTGAGGTGGATAGTTACTATTCATAACACTCCCCCTTAGATGTCTACCATTCATGATGCCTCATTAAAAACCTTACTAGAAAAAACCCAGTGGGATAAAAACCATAGCAAAGGGAAAAAGAGTACATTATTTATCTATACGTGTTTATGCTGCCTCGTTAAAAATGTTATCAGGAAAACTCATTGGGATAAAACCATAATAAGAAAAAAAGAGTACAGCCACGTAAATTCTCCCTCAAGTTGACATGTATAGGCCTTCCTCAAAAATTTCGCAGATGATGCATCCTGATACTGTAGATATGCTTTCCGAATGTTGCAGTGAGAAGTGCCTTTGTGAAAAGATCTGTTGCATTGTCACTTGATCGAATGTATTGAATATTAATATATTTATTCTTTTCGAGCTCTTGAGAGTATGAGAAGAACTTCGGGGGTATGTGTTTTGTTTTGTCACTTTTGATGTAACCTTCCTTTATTTGAACGACACATGCTGCATTGTCTTCAAATAATATTGTTAGATCTTTACGATAGATAGTCTGCAAATTTCTTTGATATGTTGAGTCATAGACCTCAGCCATATATATTCTCGACTTCCTTCATGGAGAGCAATAACTTTGGCATGCTTTGAAGAAGTGGCAACATGTGTTTGCTTTTGTGAATGCCATGAAACAACAGTACCTCCACATGTGAATATGTATCCAGTTTGAAACCTGGCTTTATGTGGATCTGAAAAATATCCTGCATCTGCAAAACTAGTGATCCCGTGTTTTGATCCTTTAGGTAAAATAATCTCAAATCAAATGTTCCTTGAAGATAACGGATTATATGCTTAACTCAGTTCCAATATTTTCTTGTAGGAGATGAGCTAAATCTTGCTAATAGAGTAGTAGCAAAAGCTATATCTGGTCGGGTACAATTAGCAAGACACATAAGAGCTTCTATTACACTTAAATATGGTACTTCAGGGCCGAGGACTTCTTCATTACCTTTGCAAGGGCGAAATGGATCATTTTCAACATTAAGTGATCTAACAATCATTGGAGTATTTAAAGGGTTTGCTTTATCTATGTTAAAGTGTTTTAAGACTTTTTTAGTATAGTTTGATTGATGCACAAATATTTCACTTTGAAGGTGCTCAATCTGTAAACCAAGATAATATTTCATTTTTCTAAGGTCTTTCATTTCAAATTCATCTTTTAAGTATATCATAGCTTGTTGAATTTTTTTTATGAGTTCCAATGATGTTCAAATCATCGACATAGACAGCGATTATAACAAAACCAAATGTTGTTCTCTTAATATAAACACATGGGTGTTGGGAATAGTGTTCTAGAAGCATGAGATGTAAAAGGATATTTATTATTTATTTAATAAAAGAGTTTATTCATCATTTTATGTGCATATATTTATGAATATTTTATGAATATCAAATAAAATTCCTTGATTATTTATGTAACCTTAAACATGGTATATAAGTGTTGTATACGAGAGGATAATGTTTAAGGATAATAATCAAAAGTAATTGTTCATAATGAATTTAATTAAAGTTCAGAATCTTTAATTAAAACATTATTAATACATGTCATTCCCATTTAGAATGGAACGGTGTTATCCGCACTGTTAATATGGCGAGATATTGAATGAGTGTATTTCGCATAATGAGATTATGTGGAACATGGACGCAGACACAATATGAATTTCTAATAATTTCCGTTAAGCATAGAAATTCTAATTTAGTCTACCGATGGTCATATATAGGATGATCTTAATCCTGAGTTCTTAACAAACTCCTATTTATGGATTTATGTCTTTTGATTTACTCGGTACGGATTCCGAGACCCTGAATCCTATTCCTTGTATTTTGGAGACATGATGAAATAGGTAGCTGGGAATGTTATTATACGAGATGGAATCCATTCCTTCTTGAGAAAGAAGCAGATAAATAATTCTCTTGAGTGTTGATTCGGTACTTGGATTAGTAAGAGCGCTCTGGTTCATGAATGTGTTTTATGAATCACTATCCATTAGAGAATCAATGGTACTCAAGGATAAAGATGTAATTAGAGAGGTTAACGGATTCTACCTGACTCTAATTATGAATTATTTATGGAGGATTGATCTATATGTAATGACTATATCAAA